GTCTTTCCATTATTTATAATGATATTCAGTTAAAAGACAGTTTGTCATGTCCCTGTGTTTCTAGGGCCTAGAAATATATCTTACTGATAGCATATGGAAATATTCAAAGGGGGAAAAGGAGCTTTGGCAGCTGGAAGGGTTATACTGGGATCCACCAGCAGCTTGAGAAGCTCAGAGGATCACTGGGAGAGGAGGGCAAGCTTGTTAACTGAATGCCTTCTTTATAATGGTCACCAGTGAAATACCTCAAAAGCTGACATTACACTGTCATCTTTAAGCCTCGGTATTAGCAAACAGGCGCTTCCAATGGGTGGATAAATTCATACAATGAAAATCCTTGTCTCAGCCTGCATGCAGAGTAAGGAAAGTGATCTGACAGTAGCTTATGCCCCACTTGTATTTTAAGATTTTCTTCATGCCTGTGATGCCTATACAGGTTATTTTAAAGTTTCAGCATTGGAGCAATCTTTCAATGGAGACACAAGATTGCATTAATACTATGTGCCTTACTTCTTACAGCAGAGACAAAATGAAATTTGTCATCATGCCAGTCAGTCTGCTGGTAAACCAGAAACCAATCTGTTACACAGAGGAAGGGGTCAAAGAAGGAATAATACATATTCAGCCTCCACAGGTAAAACATAGGCTGTTCAAGATTTAGCAATTAGTCAAATTTTATTTTCAGGATAATGCTAATTACAATATTAACAGAAATTGGGAAATGCAGATGGCTTTAGCTGTACTTGTTGAGACTCACAGAAGATAAGTTTGAAGAAAACAATGCTGAACGTTATACTTAGAATGTAGCAACACTCAGATTTATGTTCACTGTCTGGTGGTTTGTAAGAAAGATAAAGGACAACTGCATTTTGAGACAAACCCACACTACTGTACTCAAGGAAATAAATGGCCCCATGGCAGCCATTTCACTAAGAGAATGATGAGTCTGGTCAGTGGGACCTACTCATAGACCAAAGCACAGAGGATTTTGCCCTGAAAAAGCAATGGATGGAGTGGGAAAAAATAATTACAAGGGCTTTTAGCATTTATGAAGGAATAGAGCACAGATTTTACACGTACACCAAGAGACACAAACCATTTTGGAATTTGAGAATAAAACTGCGTTTGAAAACAATCTGCTGCACGAGTTCAGTACCCACTGGCAGAGGTTTTTCGTAACTAAAAGAGGTAAATACAGACCAGTCAGTCCCATAACATGTGGGGTGGAAGAGAGGGATTGTCTTTCAAAACTTATTCTGATTAAGAAAATGAGGAAAGGAGAAAAGACAAAACCAACAATTACCAAAAGTGTGGGTGGTCAGCTTATAGGACCAGGCACAATTTCTCCAAAAATCAGTAGCACAGCATCATCTCATACCAGCTAAGGGTCTCGTTACCCATCACCCAGCTGCAAAAATCTCTGAAATACCAGCCAGCAAACTGCTAGAGACCATCAACACCAGTCATAGTTCACGAAGGAAAATACTGTATTAGAAATATAAGACAGTGAGGGGATGGTAGAAGGATGCTGTGGGGTCCCTCTGAGCTTGCTGAGTGCAACTCTAGGAGCTACAGGCTAGTATCATGGAGGAGAGAAGACCACCAGCTACTGACAGTCCATCATCCTCCCCTGCAAGGACCTGAGCCTCTAGTTGTTTCAGGAGGCAGGCATGGACCACAGTACAGAAGGATGAGCCTAGTGGGGTATTCCACAGGGAAAGCACCACTTCAGGAGGTAGCCGTAAATGGACTGACCTTGAGCAGGCAGACCATTTATTGTCCTGCTGCAATCCCAGTATGACTGAATGAATGCTTTCCACAGTAAACTGGACAACGATGCTAGATTATTTGAGAATTACTAGCCATAGAAGATGAGTTACTTTTCAAATTCAGTAACTCTCTTCATTGGGGTTTTTGTTGGTGTTTGAGGTTTTCTGCTCATGCATACTTCTGAGTGTACACAGACCACCCATCTGTGGCTCCTCCTCACACTCCCTGCATTCCTCAGCAAGGAGAACTTGGGCAATAAAAGAAGTTAAAACATTTGGCTACCTGGTCTTTCAGCTGGTGAAAAACCTTTGCATACTCTGCACCACTTTTGCAAAGCCAAGGAACTGAAACTTCACTTTTGGCACGGTGGGCTCCCTTCCTGGCAGTGATTTAAAGACGAGGGAGAGCCACAATAGGCCAACTACAGCCCCAAAGGCAATTGTTTTCACATGATTACTGCCCTGGTGTTTTATCTAACCTTCCACACCTGACCCAAGGCCCCTCGGAAAGCCTCTGACCCGGCATAGTAAATTTGGTCTGGTACTAGAGTCACAGCTGCTTTGCTTCAGCCTGTTTAAAGGCCAGTGAGTGAAGGTCTCCCCTAGCACCCCTAAGCCCCCGGGCTGGTTCGTGTTCAGTCCCTAGAGTGGACCGGCATGCTGGGTACTCCTCGTTTTAGCAGCCTTAAGCTGAGCAGGATTAGCTGCTGCAAAGGCACTCGGCACCCAGCCACGGCTGTGTTTACATTAGAGAAAATGGACCTCACAGAGACAGTTTGCAAACACCACAAGACGAACTTTTGTAAACTCCCTTGGTTTAGTCATCTTTCCCCATCTGTCAGAGAAGTTTAAGTGAGATTGAAAAAACACAGGAAATTACTGTGTATTCCAAGTAGTCGTGACTGAGCGGCTTGGCTGTTATATGGGATGCCTTGTGGAAGATTCGCATCTCCCTAACATTTCCAGCAGGATCTTTTGAAACGCTTCCCTGGCTACAATATTGTAGCAGGCTCTGCACACCCTGCCAGGAAAAGCCTCTGGGGTGCTTCATGCAGCTGTGGAAAAGCTCATACCAGTACTGAGAAGCCCAAACGGTGATCTGCAGAAAGCAAGGGATGGACAATGTAAAAGGGTCAGGTCCCTTTGGGCAGCCTCCATGTGAGAGTTACATTCACTGAATACAACACCAGATGAAATCCTTTACCTCACAGCAGTTGGAACCTTTCCCTGGTGTGACTGACTGGTCTGGTTTTGGGGTTCTTTTGTCAAGGCTCCTGGCATGAGTAAGCAGCCATTGCACATGCTACACCTCTCACTACACCTTTAGTTCAAGAAAGCAATGAAAGGACACAAGTCAAATGCAGGCTAGAAATCACCTTCACCTCTTTGCTTCAGCTGTAACTCTCTAATCACCAGTCAATCTGAGCTACAGGCAACTGGAAAAGTCATTTAGGTGTAGGGGGGTCACAACTGGTACAAAGCTCCAGAGGGACCACAGAGCAGCCACCTGGTTACTTTGTTTAAATACCCCTTTAGTTCATGCTGTGGCTCTGAACCAGCTCCCTGCTTCCCCTGCACAAATCCAAAGGGTGGTGGCACACATGGTAGCACCCTGGCAGCATGTCATGGTCACCATGATGGTAGGAGACAAAAGGACAGATGGTAGATGAGGGGTGTAAAAGAAGGATGGAGGGCATGCAGGAGGATGAAATGTGAAAAAAAATCTCTGCCACAACTTTGCTTAGGGGCGTAACACCTTCAGGACTGAAAGAAGCATTTCATTTCTTTGGCTCAGGCTGTGTCTGTTTTCCCTGCAGAACCAGCTGCCCTGCTGGCACTGCACATCACTGCCAGCTGAGGCTGTCTGAGTGCTGAGGATGCTTAAGTACCCATGTTAAGCTGTTTCAACAGATTAGCTAATACAGTAAAAATAGTAAAATTTCACCAAAAGTAGCAAGTATATATGAAGCACAATGATATTATGCTGCATGTTTTGAAAAAGAAGCGTGATTTTTTAAACTCAAATGATCTGTGCATTTCCAAGGGAAATGTATTACCTGGATCCTGAAGATAAAATGACATTTCTGTTCCTAGTGACAGCAAAATTGATGTGACAACAGAAACATCTTTTTCTGTTGCTGTTTGGCATGTGCTGAAAGGCACAGTGCTTTATAATCTTACGCTCTTGGAGCAAAGTGTCTTATGATAGAGAGAAAAACAATCTTCCTCGAGAGAAGTGCTTCTGTCCAGTTCTTCCTGGCAGGTAGGCTAGGATCAAGTTCAGGAGCATTCATTTAGCAGTTATGTGGGGGACATACAGATGAAAGGCATTTGTATAATCTTGTAAAAGAACTGTTTCTTGAAAATTTTTGATACTAGCAAAATGTCCTTAGCAGTGGAGTGTGCAGTGGGGAAAAGGCCTATCAGGCTCACATGCCATAAATCAAATTGAATTTATACCAGGAAGTCCATTCAGTCTAGCCCAGGCTGGAAATCCTATCAAGGTCTATTGCATTTCTGGGAATGGGACAAGGGTGTTTCCACCTCCTTTTTCTAACATGGAATACCTCTGTCTCTTGTGAGGCCAGCAGGATAACTCAGTGGACTGCTGAGTCCAACACACCGACTTTTGCTATTATTTTGTGAGGCAAGGTCCAGAGAAAGGCATAAAACCCCACTTAAACATAGGCCAACTTTCATTCGATGGCATTTCCTCCCTTACAGACCCGAATGACAATAAGACTGTCCAGAGCTGTAACGGGTTCATTTCCAGATGTCTCTGGAACTAAAGAAACCAGATGAGAGGCCAGAGTAGACAAAGATCTGCTGATCCCTCACTTCAGCTTGTGCAAATTCAACTGAGAAGCCTCTGCAATAGGTTATGTGTGCAGGCTTGTTCTGGAAGACCAAGGAGCCCTTTAGGGTCAAAAAGCTTTCAGCCCCCCCAAAAGTGCTAGCTGATTTGTGGTTTGGGCAGCATTTGGCTAGGTGTTTTCCTTGGCTGTAAGTGCAAGTCTACAGAGAATCTGTTGCTTCTCAGTGCACCTTCAGACTGTCCTAAATGCTCCTGAAACCCTGGCAATGCTGAGCTCCCTCACAAACCCAGCCTGAAGTGCACAGTCAACTGCTGTGTAATCTCTTGAGCAGGGAGCAGTTTGATTAAACGGCGTTTCCTTTGGTGAGGGAGGGGAACATGGGGGAAAGAACCCAGTAGCCATTGGAGATGTAAAATTAAAATGAATTTTGGTCATTTTAATAAATATATATCAAGGAAATTTCACTTTACTACAACAACACATTAGTATACAAGCATCTAATATTTAAGCTTAAAACATCAAGCGTTTATCAAATATTGGAAAAGAGCAGACATTACTAGACTATCTGGATATAACACAAGAAAAATCAGGTTTTTTAAAAAATTGGTCCTTGTGGACAAATGTCTAAATGATGATCCTACTCATACACTGTATGAATGAGATCTATATTTAATATTATTATTATTAATAAAAAAGCTTCTGTCTTGGAGAAATCAGGTGGGAGTTGCACTTTCATTATTTGTCATTTTTCACAATGATAACCCTTATAAACAAATCAGTTTAAACTCACCTGACTTCATAAAGGTTATCATTGATTTATATCCTGCTGTGTTTGTGGTCTCCTTGGCTGGGGGGGGAGCTTTTTCCTGTGACCACTGGGCTTTCTGAGAAAGACCATACAGTTTGCAAATGTAGTTTGCTACCCAAAATAAGCATGGCCCAGGACTCCTCCAGCTGAACCCATGAAACCCAAAGCAGGAGGTCTCAGACCCAGAGACCTGTCTGACTCCAGTGCCAAGCCTGGTGCTTTGTCCCCTTGGGGTCACTCACGCCCTGCACCAAGCTGGCTGCTCCCCCAGCACAGAGGTCATTTTCTTGCCCTTTGGGCAGGAAGCAAGTGAAGATGTCACTTGAGTGCAAGATGCTGTGGGAACAGGCAGCTATTTATGAGTCAGCTGTGGCCTGGATGTGGCGATCTTGCAGAGCACATCCCGCCAGTTGTTATGGGGACTGTGGCAACTAAGTAATTTGGTGGATCTAAGACTCACTCTTGGTCCAATCCCAACTGATGCCTTCTGGGCATTTTACACAGCACACTTTTGCAATCAATCTAACTAGGGATGACTAAATCTCCACTGAAATCTCCAAAATGTTCTTTTTTAAAATTAAGCCCCTTACATTCATTCAGATAAAACTGTGTTTATCGCCACATTATTAATTAACATTGTGCTTTTTGCCTTCTTGTCTTTTTTTAAATCAACGGCAAAAGTCATAGAAAACTCCCGCATGCTTTTGCAATCTAAAAGAGAGAAATTATGTGAAACAGAATAAAGTATAAAACATGCCGCTGGGTCATGAACTTCATTATACGAAGAAGAAAAAAAAAGAGCCCCAGCAACAGACAGTTGCCATAGAAACACTCAAGCATCGAATGCTTGTTTACAAGAGACATCTCTCTATTGTTTCTTAAATCCCTTCCTAAGGATGGCAAATCAAAAAGCAATTGAGCATCAAAAAGGAAGAACAGAGATGTTTGAATAGGAAGTTGAACTCAGTACTTCAAAGGTTAAAGGTTTCTAATAATATTGATCCACCCTGTGGGTTTCTTTTTTATCTCTGTTTAGGTTAAATCCCTGCTGTATCAGATTCATACTTAATTTTCACACTGGCAAAAATTAAGACAAAAAGTAAGGCACCAAAAAAAAACCTGCCCTGTGTAACAACAAACCTCATTAGTTATTACAGCTGAGGTGAAAACATGCAAGTAGTTGAGCTGCATGTTTGATTTCTGTTTAAAATTCCATAAACAGGTTATTTCTTTATGCTATGTCCTATTTTGTCAGTTGAACAAGACACTGAATACAGGAATTCAAGAGTATCACTACAAAACATAAGGATGGTTTATTCCCAATCCATGAAGACAGTCCTTTGTCAAAACGAATACTGAGTTACAAGGAGCATATCATCCTTGCTGGTAGCATCAATTTGTTTACCAGACTTCTAACTCCTTGGTAAACATAATGGAGGTTCTTCTTAATTAATGGCAGACTTCTTGGGGGCGGGGATATGTAAAACGATATGTTTTCCCCATCTGGCTGATTGGCATTTTCAGCAATGAAAGCTCCACCATAGCTGCACAGACAGACTACAGTGCTCAGCAGTAATGCAACTGTGTTCTTTCTGGTCTCCACATTTATAAATAGCCGCTGATGCGGATGGCAGAGACACTTTACACAATCTGCTCTCCACTCTACACGTCATGTTTGTGGCATGATTGTACCATTCGTAGAAAACTATAAAAAATCCATTCAAAATAAAAATTTGATAGAGAAGGAACATGCTGTGCATGCTTCAATAGAGCAAGAAAGATGCCTCATATTTTACTTCCTTTGTTGCAGCAGATTTTATTACTTGGTAAAGATTCCTTTTTCCTTAAGGATTTTTTCCAAGATTCACTTACGTTGATCTTGTCATTACATCCAGTCTCAAAATAGTCATAAAATTTGCCTTTACATTCAAGAGCATGGGTACCTCTTAGAGGTTCACAGTTTAGGGCGATGCTCTCTCTCTCAGGTTCATTACCTCCTTTCTCGTCATTAAATTTTGCCTTTTCCTGATTACTGTGAGACCTGCCATTAGTGATGAATATTTCATTAGCAGGTATCTGGTCATCACTTCTGTAAGAAGGTGCACTGCCAACTTCATAATCCACCTGCTGGGAACAGCTTGGCAAAGAAATGGGAGGGGAGGAGGAGGAGGAGGAGGAGG